GCATCCCGTTCATTCTGCATCCCATTGCTGCCGCGCTCTGCCTCCCTTGGGCACTGGGAGGGTTTTGAGGAATGTGCTGGATGGGCTCCCGCACAGCTCCCAGGACTGCCACTTCCTCTGTGGAGGGAACATTTTTCCAGGAACAGTTCCTTCCATTGAACTGTCCAGAGGGCTCTACTGTGATGACTTAATCTCTGCTGTTGTAATTGGGAGTAGTTAACCATGAAACTGTTTTTCTGAGATTAATTGAAGACCTGTTTTCCAGGTGTCCCTGCTGCAGAATGAAAGTGTTGAGAAGAACAAGAGCATACAGAGTTTGCACAACCAGATCTGTAGCTTCGAAATTGAAATTGAGCGGCAAAAGGAAATGCTTCGAAATAACGAATCCAAAATCCTTCATTTACAGGTAAGACACCTGGGGCCGTGGCTGGATCCCAGACAGGGGAACACATCCATTCTCTTCTTCTTTGGAAAAGGCGTCTTTTCATGAATGGTGCAGCTCTGACTTTGTTCTGCAGAGAGGCCGCCCTTGTCGCTCTTGCTTTGCTGTGTAAGGATAGGAGTTTGTAGTCAACACACAAGAAGAGGTGGCTTTAGAAGTGTCCCATCTCTGCCGCCAGCTCTGCCATCTTCTGGGCCTGTGACCCACTGTTGGTGAGATGAGACATAAAGCCCTGTCTTAGACATTTGGTCACTTCTTACTGTTATTTAGGATTTCATCTTGTTCTTGGATGGTGGCGATGTGGACTGTCTCACTTCCTAAAGTGAGGTGAGGCCAGACTCTTATGCTCTGGGTTCATTAAGTGGCCCACATACCACTAGGCAGCTAACACTTGGTATCTGGAGTTTATTTTTTTTTAACATATTACCATTAAATTACTTGCTGGTTTGCGGCCGGACTTGGATGTGGTGCCGGGGATATTGAGGGCGTGGGGTAGGGTGGGGTGAGGGGATGAGGCAGCGAGGAGGGCGGTGAAACTCTCCTCCCTGCGGCCCCAGCGCATGGGACGGCGTGGACGTGGTGTCGGAGGGATGTCCGCCGTCTCTGAGGCTTTGCTGGAGAAGAAGCTGTCAGAGTTGAGCAACTCGCAGCAGAGCGTCAGACCTTGTCTCTGTGGCTCATCCACCACCGCAAGCACTCGCGGCCCTTCGTCACCGTGTGGGAACGGGAGCTTCGTAAAGGGATACAGGTGAGGAGAGACAACTCAGGGATGCCCAAAGCAGCAGGCCAGAAGAGCAGGAGAAAGGGGATTAAAA